AGACCAGGGATCATTGATTTGTAAGAGATTTTGAATAGCATCTTAAAGCAGCCTAGTTCACCACAATTTTTCAGTTGTGTGGGGCAGAGCATGTTGGGCAACAAAAATTATTTACTTTTTCTTATTTGATTTACTTAATGTTTGTGTTTAGTTAAATCTGAATTAATAACACTGACATTTCAAGTATCTTTTTATATTTTTACTATGCCATTAATTTGCCATTTTATTATGCGTCAAAGCAGTTAAATAGTACGTTTTATTATGATTCCCAAATAAATTAATAACATTCTTTAATCTCTATTCATCATTGTGCATCAGCTACCCATATACTGAATATGTATTTATTTATTGCAGCACTTATGTTGAATGTCGGATGATATATCTGTACTTCCAAGCAATCTTTCAAAAAGCATTGTTAGAAAATATGTGTTGTGACTAACTGTGTTCCAATTTAACAAGTCCCAAATCCCTGTGCAATGCTGGGGGAGGCAAAGACAGAGTATTTAAGAGCAGTGAAGAGTTTGCTCAGTGGAGGGAGAGGCAGAACAGAGAACAGACAGATACTGGGAGACAGCAGAGCTTTAAACTAAATATGAATAACAATAATTTTGCTGATTTCTTCTTGGCGATTTTTTATGCTTAAAACATTGTATAGGTAACCATGTATTTTCTTTGTTTTGTTGAGCTATGCTTTAGATTGTCTTTAAAATGTTTACATTTTTATGTATTGGAGAATGAGATTAATTTAAAATATTTATCATTAAATTAATATGATTAATAAATGCATTCAGTGTAATGAGATTAAATAGCTTACAAATTCTGAGGAATAACTGCTGTTTATTCTTGTTACTTTATTTTTGAAGGTCTGTACTGCACACTTTTAAAAAGTGGAATGGGTGACCGATCAGTCAACTTCTCTTTTACTGAATTCCAGTTGATTGGATTCACAGACCTAAAAGGGTACCGACCGCTACTCTTCATTCCTTTTTGCATCATCTTAGTTTATACATTATTTGCTAATGGCATTTTGATTATCATTATTGCAAAAGAGAGAAAATTACATGCTCCCATGTATATTCTAATTGGTTTGATTGCAGCTTTAGGGTTTTTTGTGCCAATATACTTTATTCCAAGGATGTTGGTTGGCTTTCTGTGGGAAATGAATACAATTACGCGGCATGAATGTCTAATACAAATGTTTTGTCTGCATTTTTCTGCTTGTTTTCAGTCCACCATCTTACTTGGGATGGCTGTGGACCGATATTTTGCTATTATTTATCCTTTGCGTTACAATGATTTTGTAAGTTTGACAAACTCGCTTATTTTCTTCGCAATTCTTAGCATTCGGAACGCTGTTAGCATTATTGCCATGGTTGGTCTAGTTGTGCCACTTACCTTTTGCAAAACAAATTTGATTTACCACAGTTTCTGCGAGCATACATCAGTTGTTAATCTAGCTTGTAATGATCTTACTAAAAACTATTTAGCTCTTACAGTAGCTTTCGGTATAACATCCGCTGACTGTTTTCTGATTTTTTGCTCTTATGTCATCATTTTTGTTGTTATATTTCGCTCACCTTCTGGTGAATCCCGCCATAAAGCCATTCACACATGTACCACGCACATAATGACCATAGTAATAGCCTATATCAGTGTTACCGCTGCATTTGTTGGGTATAGAGTAGCTACAATACCCCGAGATGCACGTATCTTAACTAGCGCAATGTATCATCTCGTTCCTGCAATATGTAACCCTATCATTTATGGTCTCAGAACCACAGAAATTAGAACTCAAATTGTGAAATGTTTCAAATTTAATAAAATTACCACATATTGATTGGCAAATACAATGCATGAAAAAATTTTGTATAAGGTTATTGTCAGTTTGTTCACTATATGTGCCTGAGTTGATTATACTCACAGTTCCGTCTGTATTAGTATTAGGACTGCTGGTAGTTAATACTGATTAAAAAATAACATACTTTTATCACTGTCAGTTATGTTGTTTTCTGGACTTTTAGGTTCTGTTTTATGGATTTGCTGTGTTTTGTTCCTGTTTTCTATGTTCTTGCTTCTTGTCTATTGCAAAGGACACTGCTAATGTTGCACACATTTTTCTTGTTTTACCCCTTGTTGTCCTCTGTAAATATCATCTTCAGTTTGTTCAGTTCTTTGTCTTGTGTGTATATGTATTTGCCTGTGGTTTTCATTGTTTCCTCATGGATTATCTTCATTTTTGTTTATAATAAAAATTAAACTGCGTTGAGATCTACCTCATCCTTGTTTGCCTAAATGCTGTGACAATCAAAATGTTCATGTATACTATATATTCTCATTTCCCACAAAACTGAATAAACAATAGATGCATTCATTACATTTTCAAATTATATAAATAAATAAAAATTGATTATTGTCATGCATGTCTATAGATGAGACTATTGCTAGTGGTTGAATATATTTAATCACTGGCAAGAGAAGAACTTGTGTAACTGTACCAGGCACTTCTCTGTGAATATGCTTAGCATGTTATTAGTGACCACTGTGATTAACATTTATGTAAACCATCTTTACAAACACTTATAACCTCATCTATAACTACTACTTATTGATGAAACTTTACAATGAAAGTACCCTCATTGTATCGATTATCATAATCTCTGTATTTTCACAAAATGAATATAGGCCTATACTGTAGGCCTACTATCAATATGTATTATGAGTATCAGCAACTGAACTGCATCACTGAATTAAATTTCTCTATATACATTATAATGCCTATGCCTTATGATAGGCCTATGTTACAGTTTATCATTTTCTGTGAATGAGGCCGTGCACTTCAGACACTGTGGTATAACTGCTTCATCACAGAAGAGAAAATAGAAACTGTATTGACAATAAAAGCAAAATTAACCACTCGCCACTTTTCTTAGCCTCTGTTTCAGAAAACTTAGGAGATTATCCTCACTGCAGAACACAAGATCCAGGGGGCGAGGTTGGATCCAGATCCAACTCCTCCCACCTTACATATACCTAATCCTACCCGTCTCCACTCCCTAGATGTGAATCCAACCCCACCCCCTGGATCTTTGTTCTGCGGTGAGGGGCTACTGAAACTTAGGGGTGAAACAAACACAGTGTGACAACAAATCTTACAACTCACAGTCGAGGGTGTCCCTTGAACCTCAGTGTCCTTAAAGGCCCCCTGAAATGCTTAGAAGCACGCAGCGTTACTCTGTGTTGACGTCATTTTAACTGAAACAGGAAGACAGGGCGGGACATATCAAGCAGCCCCACCCCTTTTTAAAATAGCCAATAGCGTTAGTTTATATCACAGCTTGGGCTAGAGCCGTTCAGAGCCGTTGAGCTCCGTAAAGCCGCATTTGACAGAGTATGCCAGCCACAATCTCATCCATATTGTTATAAAATATAGCATTCTATGTAGAATTCAAATAGCTCTGATACATTTTGTGTATCAAATGTTTAAACTGTTTAAACTGGGTTTAATATGCACTTTGGTAGCTGTGAAATAACATAAACTGTTTTTTAACATTCAATAAGATTTTAAATTTGAGGTGAAATTATATTATATAATATATATATATATATATATATATATCCTCACATTTTTGTAAATATTTTATTATATCTTTTCATGTGACAACACTGAAGAAATTACACTTTGCTACAATGTAAAGTAGTGAGTGTACAGCTTGTATAACAGTGTAAATTTGCTGTCCCCTCAAAATAACCATGAATGTCTAAACCGCTGACCACAAAGTGAGTACACCCCTAAGTGAAAATGTCCAAATTGGGCCCAAAGTGTCAATATTTTGACGACATCACGGAGCTGGTCGATGTTAGAGACCTTGCGCTCCTCCACCTTCTGTTTGAGGATGCCCATGCTTGGCCAATCCATCACCTTTACCCTCAGCTTCTTTAGCAAGGCAGTAGTCGTCTTGGAGATGCGTTTGGGGTCGTTATCATGTTGGAATACTGCCCTGCGACCCAGTCTCCGAAGGGAGGGGCTCATGCTCTGCTTCAGTATGTCACAGTACATGTTGGCATTCATGGTTCCCTCAATGAACTGTAGCTCCCCAGTGCCGGCAGCACTCATGCTGGTTGACTACTTGACTGTAGGCAAGATACACTTGTCTATGTACTCCTCACCTGGTTGCTGCCACACACGCTTGACACCATCTGAACCAAATAAGTTTGGCGAGGCCTGTTCTGAGTGGAACCAGTTGCGCCGCCTCTATTGCCGCGACTCCTGAAAAACTTTTTCATTCCGCGGCGCCCCATCAAGCTCTCGCTGAATCCGCTCCTCTGCTATCAACGAGAGGAACGTCTGTACTTCCTCAACAGACAACGAAACAGTATATATATATATATATATATATATATATATATATATATATATATATATATATATATTTATATATATGCAATGTACCTCTTATTTATCTTTTAACAGACATCAATTTATGCAGCTATGAAATCGTCATTCATCTGGGTAGAGGAGGCTTTGGAAACTTTTATGCAGCGACCCGTTTGAAAGATGGCCTTCAGGTATCAATTTTTACAATATTTATGTAGCTAATCATTTTTGTAATATTATAATTGTCTCACTGTTTCATTTGCAAACATCGTAGTGTATCATATGAACTATTTAGAGCATTTAACCTGTCAGACTTGTTAAAACCTTCTTAGAATTCATTACAATCTACATATATGTTCACAGTTAATGATTTAAATATGAATTCTGCACACAAATCCTTTTTTTTGTTTTGTTGATCAGGTGGCAGTAAAATTCGCCTCCAGCAGGAACACGAAATCCGTCAGCATCGTAAGTAATCTTACTGTCAGTGTTTTCAAAATCTCATATTAACAATCACAGACTATAAATTATTTTTCAACAGACTATCAACAGTTTGTCCAGGACTTGTCCTATATCATAACAACTGTCTTTCTTCTAGGATGGTTATCCCAAACTCGTTCCACTGGAGGTCGCTCTGTTAATTCAAGCAAATCAAAGCCCCGGGGTTCCTGAAATCATCCAGCTTCTGGACTGGCAGAAGAAGCCTGGCCACTACATGATGGTCCTAGAGCGGCCCATGCCCTCTCAGTGTCTGTATGAATTTATAAAGAACTACAAGGGCAGCATTGGAGAGGATTTGGCACGGTTTATCATGCGCCAGGCAACATCTGCAGCTCAGACGTGCTGCCAACGTGGAGTGTTGCACTGCGACATTAAGGCAGAAAACATTCTGATTAACTCGAGCACCCTCGAAGACAAACTGAATGACTTTGGGTGTGGTGACTTCCTTACTGATGCGGGTTACACATCCTTTGCTGGTACGTTTGATTTCTCAGAGCTGTAAGGTGGGTCTCAAACTTTGGTGATGAGTTAAGAGCCGTTCACACAGGACTCGAGTGAGTGAGTCGAGCTCTCATCATGGAATGGGATCCATTTTTATGATAATAATTTCTTGCATTATAATATATATATCTAGTGTTAATAGAAATGTACACATCAGACAACATCTCTTTCTTCCAGGCACAAAACGGTACTGTCCTCCCGAGTATCTGATGAGCAGCAGGTACCACGGGGAATCAGTGACCGTGTGGTCACTCGGGATCCTCCTGTTCGTGATACTTTTCCAGAAAACTCCAAACAGACGAGACCTGTGCAAGATGGAAGATTACATCCGGGCCAAAGATGGCTTGTCACAAGGTGAGATCTGCATTATAACATAGTATAATTGCAATTATGAAGCTTACTAGATAGAATAAAGCAACAGAAGCATTCTCAGGAACATCTGAGACTAATGGCTTAATTAAAGATGGTAGTTTGGATCAAAGAGATCAAGTGTTAAGGTAATAATCAGACATGTCTCTCTTTTTTTCTTCACAGAATGCTGCAATTTTCTTTGCTGTTGTGTGCAGATCGACCCAAAGCAGCGGATTGAACTGGAGAAACTCAGTCTCCACAACTGGTTTATGGTAAATGCTTTTGGATGATTTTGAAGGATTTTTGATTTGGTTTAAATATCAGATTATAGACACAAGCTTTTATACGCTACCTTTAAATACATGCTACAACTATCATATAGTCAATTTTCATACACTGCTCAGGTGACAAGTTGTAGCACTATATGTTTAGACTTTCTGAAATTTACCTGTTCTTAAATTTCCCTTTTTTTAACCTTTAAGAATGTTGCCTCTCTTTGTTGTGCATTTGTTTTCTATACATTATCTGTTTTGGTTTAAGACCTACAGTAATAAACCTGATTTCTGTTTTTGTTTCAGATCGCAGACAAGAGGACAATTATTGGTTAGTTTGGTACCATAAGCCTAACATAAAACACACACACTTTTGAGACAAAGTCTGTTCTTATTTAGACATGAATCAGTCTGCAATCAGCAGTTTAACAGTTAAGCATTACTTTAACATGCACTTTGTTTTACAGTCGATGATAACAAGATGTAGAGTAACAATGTATATTTTACACCTTAAATTACTACCACAGTTCACTTAAATAGTCCTGTAGTGAATCTTTAAAAGTCTCTTATTTATATTTTACCAGATATCAATTCATGCAGCTATGAAATTGGCATTCAGCTGAGTTTAAGGGTTGGGAAGCAGTAAAACTCATCTCCAAAAAGTACAAGAAACTCATCAGCATTGTAAGTATAGTTTTTGTTCTCTCTGTTTTTCATGATGATCTTTTGATTTTTCAAGCTTAATCAACAGTTTGTCCAGGACTTGTTTAAGTCCTGTATCCATAACCACTTTTTTTCTTCTAGGAGGGTTATCCCAAACCTGTTCCACTGGAGGCCGCTCTGTTAATTCGAGTAAATCAAGGCCCCAGGGGTTCCTGAAATCATCCAGCTTCTGGACTGGCAGGAGGAGCTGGACTGCTACATTATGGTCCTAGAGCGGCCCATGCCTTCTGAGGAACTGGACTGGTTTGTCCTCAGCCAGACAGCGAACACTGAAGAGGATTTGGCTTGGGTTATCATGCGGCAGGCAACAACTGCATGCATGGGATACACTTCTGCAAATCGAATAATTTCTTGCATAATTGTGGATATTAATCATGGATATTAATGGAAACAACAAGCGCAGAACAGTACTGTCCTCCCGAGTATCTGATCATACAGCGAGTACCACTGGGAACCAGCGACGGTTTGGTCACTCGGGATCTTCCTCTTTACAGTGCTGTGTGGAGATTTTCCAGCAAGACGAGACCTGGACCAGATCAATAAGTACATCTGGACCAAAGATGGCCTGTCAAAAGGTGAGATCTACATTTCAGAAAATAACAATTGTAATTGTAAATCATACAAAATAGCACAAAGAAAGAGCAGGTGTGAAGTTCAAGGTAATAATCAGACGTCTCTTCCTTCTTTCTGCACAGAATGCTGTGATTTTATTTGCTGTTGTCTGCAGAGTGACCCAAAGCAGCGGATTGAACTGGAGAAACTCTGTCTCCACAAATGGTTTAAGGTATGGTAACACTTTATTTCGATAGTCCACTTTAGACATTCTATTAACAGTAAGTAACTTTGCAACTACATGTCAACTAGCAGTTAGTAGAGTATTAGCAGACTGTCTGCTTAATATCTTCTAACACTTTCTTTGTCAACTTATTCTACTAACCCTAAACCTACCCTAACATTCTACTCTGAGAGTTAGTAGACATGTAGTTGCAAATTAATGAGAATTAGTTGACATGTAGTTGACATGTAGTTACAAAGTTACTTATAGTTAGTAGAATGTCTAAAGTGGACTATCGAAATAATGTGTAACCTAAGGTATTAATTACATTTGATGATGCTACCTTTCAGTACATACTGCAAGTGTCATATAGTCAGATGACAAATTTCAGCGCTGTATGTTTATACCTTCTGTAATATTTCCAATTTATGTTTCCTCTCTTTGTTTGGTTTTATGTTTTTGCTTTTTGTGTAATGCATTTAAAGACTAAACTTGATTTCTGGGTTTCTTTCAGAAAAAGAAAATAGTGTAATTCAAATGACAGGAAGCTCTGTGAAGGCCATGACAGGAACCTAATTCTGCTTCAAGCCTCCCCTTAAGAGTTTCATTTAGAAAACAAATAGCACCCGAGGACCGGTCAGGCCACCAGCTGGATTGTCATTCTGCTCTTGAGATCTGGACAAGATCAGTGATTACATTTGGACCATGGCTTGTCACGGGGTGAGATCTTCGCTTCAGCAAAGATCAATTTGTAAACTGAGATTTTACAAAGTAGAACAAAGAAAGAGAGCAGGTATGAATCTCAAGGTAATAATCAGACTTCTCTCATTTGCCGTTATCTGCAGAGCAACCCAAAAGAGCAGACTGAATTGGAGAAAATCAGTCTCCACAACTGGTTTAAGGTATTAACTACATTATATTAGCTTTCTTACCCTACCTTTTATGCTGCATCTGGCATATAGTCAGATGACAAATTTCTGTGCTGATTTCTGATTTTAAGATTTCAGAAGTGAAGAAATATTTGACATTATATGATAAAAAAAAATATGTATTTATTTTGAACTTTTCATATAAATATTTATTTAAAAAGGAACATATATAATAAAATATAAATAAATGTATCTTACAAAATAATATATAAATACATACATATAAAATTCATTCATATTTAGAAGCCTTTTGAAAAAACAAGCAAACAAATAAATAATATATAGGTAAATATATAATAATATAATGTATAAATAAAGATATATATATAATAAGATATCTATATTTTTGTGTATTATAATGTATACAGATTCCCAGAGCAATTTACATAAATACCTAAATAAATTTATATTTGTGTGTGTGTGTGTGTGTGTGTGTGTGTGTGTGTGTGTGTGTGTAAATGTGTATTATGGCTGTCAGTCAATTATTTTTTTTTTATCTAATTAAGTACATGATGTGTTGATTATATTATATAAATTATTTTGGGCTGTGAAAATACCCCCAAAAGATTATTTAAAGCTATTTTTGTGTTAAACGATAAAGTATTACGTAGACATTACAAATAGAAAGCTTTAGAAATAAATATTTTACTTGATTCAACATAAAATGTATTATAATATAAACATTTAGGCTACAACGGCCTAACATAAACTATGGAACATAAAAGAAGATAATTTGAGAAACATCTGAGTTTTTTTTTTTTTTAATTCATGCAATGGAAGTCATTGGTAACCAAAACAGATATAAACCATCCCTTTAATTTTTTTCACCTTTTTTAAATGAAATAATACTCTAAAAATTAAGCTAAAACTGCCAGCAGGTAGCGGTAAATGTCTTTGAGTCATTCATTAATTTGATTTTTTCAAAAGGCTGATTCATTCAGTAAACAGATCACTTTATGAATGGACTTTTGAATCATTGATTCACACGATTCGTTCAAAACGCGGATTCATTCAGAAACTAAACACTGCTGTGTTGCTCGGAGACCCACAACAATTCTGCTGTGGCTTTACAGGTAATATTTTTGTTGGCAAAACTGAGCAAAAACAGACAATATTGTGTTTAAAATATAACACAATATTAACTTATTTACTGAACTGTTGTGTAAAATCACATTTGCACTTATGCTATTTGGGACAAACCATTCGTGTGATTGCTCTCACAGCTTGTGTGATATCGCTTATCATATGATATAAATATGAGACAAAAACTCATACTCATGCTTTTTTTTTAAATAAAGATGATAAAGGGTTAGTATGTGCACAGGCGCATAGTGTTTCTTTAGTCAGATCACTAACTACATCTAGATCGCCTGGATCTGTGTGAACGAGGATCAATTTGATGGCATTGTTGTCAGTACACAAAAATGTTTTTGAGACTTATTGACTTTGTCCTTGTGTAATGTACAATTCTGGTAAGTATGAAGACTCGCTTGTAAGTGACTGATATAAGCAATGCACATCAAGTCACAATACAGGCTGCTCTTTCACATGCTTCCTCTAACACTTTCTTTTATCAGTATAAGAAACCTCTGCGAAATCTCCTCCACGGTAAGTGCTTTGACTGTACCTCATTCTTTCTTCATATTTCTGTATGTTGTTTTGAGCACATGACTTTGGCAAATGGAGATCATACCAAATAGCGTTAATGTATACAGTTAAGCTCGGAGTCAAAGACTACAGCAAGATGTTTTTTCAAAAGGTATGTGCAGATAGTTTAAAATTAAGAATCAGTGCTAAGGCGACAGAAAACAAGACTATCAGTTTCACTTTCATTGACCTGGAGAAACTATATATATATATATATATATATATATTTGTACAAGAGCTAAGCATCATGGTGCAGGCTGTTCCTATAGTATTCTGGTGCTGGGTGTAAATTAGGTCACATCTGTTTGCATTGTGTAAATGTATGTGTGTAAATGAAGCTGGCTGAACAAACTCTGGGTTACAGGATTGGTTTCATTGGTCGCCATTTGATATTTATGAAAATTATGAAGAATTTAAACATTTACACAGCAAGAAGAGAAGTGTTAATCTCAAAAGGAAATGACAAAAAAAAAACATCTGGCTAAATCAGTGCCAGAGCAAAAAAAAGTATATAATACTGTATACACAGGTCCACAGTGACATTTTTAAAGCTTTATATTGAGTCTTATTTATTAATGCTTACTTATATTGCACATTATCTGTATATTTTCACATAATATATGAGCAATATCACACTAGTAGCCATGTGATATTGCTCTATATCAGCATAGCTGTGAGTCAGCCATAGGGAATGCTGATACAGAGTGATATCACTCAGCTAAGAGTGTGATATTGTGTTTGGACAGTACAAGTGTGTAAATAAATAAGAAACAACAACGGAGTATCTTTAAAAAACATTTTGTATGCAGAACTATTTCATTCCGCCTCGGATTCATATCTCAGTTTGACAGTTTATCAGCTGAGCCCAAGCCTCCATTACTAAATTGCAAACGTCACTTTAGAACTAACGAAGGAACGTTGAGTTGCTTCATTAAAAACGTATTGTATTACTGTAATAAAAGCTCACTGTATTATGTAGAATCGAGTATTATGAGAGAGAGATGGACTGAGTGAGTGTGATTACCTGCATCTGATACAGCATTCAGTCTTCAGCTCAATCTCATATTCACAATAATACATTAGTTGTCAATGTCCGCTGAGGAAAGCAATATGTTTGTCGTACTATCCTTTCATCTGTTTAGGGTGATTTCCGATGACAGCACTGCTCAGTGCATTTGTTGGCTGCATTTTACAAGGTTTTGTTGAAAGTGAACATACTTGTTTACAACCCTGTTGCAGTCTCTTTCAATATAAAAATCTCACTCACTCATAAAAACAGTCTCTTGTCGCCATCTAATGGTGGAATAATGTAACTTATAACCATCACGGACACACACACCGTTTCCCATTCTAAATTAAATATTACTATATGCATCATTAAAGTTGCTATTATGATAGTAACTTCCATTTACACTAAACAATCAACAAAAGGTTCACTGTATGAACTCTATAATAAGCATTTTCAAAAACTGGGTACAATGAGGTGACATTATTTTACTCACCCTTCAACCATCGATCATTAAAATTATCATATCATTATAGTAATATATGTCTATATTTCATAATAATTACATTTTACAGCATTCATGTGAGAACAAACCTGGAAAGAGACATGAGAATTTGGGGAGAAAAATTAAACATTCTTAGTGCATTCCAGGGAATTATTCATAGTTTATATTATAAATCAAATTGGGAGAGCAGACCACAAATGCACAGTATGTTTTGTCTTTTTTCATTTACTTACAGCAGAATACAAAGGAAACATGAAAATAATTAGGAGAAAAATATCATGTCACATTAATATA